TTTATGCCTTTCTTGATTTATTCAACGACCCATTCACCATTCAATAGGATGTCATTTAATCTCCATGAATTTGTGTATATTCTAGGGTTTCTCTTGCTGTTGACTTGGAGTCTTATTTTATTGGATAGAGTACAAGGAATTATTTCAATTCCTATAATTGCTAAGACTTGTGTACTCATATATAATTATTTTAGAGAAAGTTCCATGGACTGCTGAGAAGGATGCGTGTTCTGCAGTGTTTGCATGTTAGAGTATTTGATATGTGATGTCATTTAATTCATGTCTCTGTTTTGTCAGAATGACCTGTCAATTGGTGAGAGTGGGTTACTAAAGTCACCTACTACTATTGTGATGGGCTTAATCTGTTACTTTACAGCTAACAGTATTTGTTTTATAAAATTCAGTGTTCAGGGGAGTTTATTTAGAATTATGGATTATTCCCTTAGTCAGTACCAAGTGAGCTTCTTTGTCTTTTCTCATGAGGTTTGGTTTGAAACCTGTTTTGTCAGATATTAAAATAGCCACACCTCCTTGTTCTCTAGGTCTATCTGTTTGGAATACATTTTTCCGTCCTTCTACCCTAAGGTCGTGCTGTATGTTATGGCAAAATGCATTCTTTGGAGGCAACAAATACATGGTTCATGCTTAAAAAAATCCCACCTACTGCCGGGCCTGGTGACACGCACTTTTAATCCCAGCACTTGGGAGGCATAGTCAGGCAGGTATCTGTGAGATCAAGGCCAGCCTGGTCTATACAGAGCAAGTTCCAGGCCAGCTGGTGCTATAAGGAGACCCTGTCTCAAGAAACTAAACAAAGAAACAAAAATCCAATCTACTAGTTGATTGGGGAATTGAGAACATTAATATCCAGAGTGATTTTTGAAAAATGTGTATTGATTCTGGTCATTTTGTTGATTTTGTAGGTTTTTCCCCCTCCTCATCTCTTATTATTCTAGCAGTTTAGTCTTTCTTGTGTGTAAAATGTACATAATGTACTCAAATTCAACCCGTATTATTCTCCTTTGCCCCCTCCTACTCTTGTTAATCCTCTTCTTCCCAGCTAGTCTCTCTTCTAATTAAATGTCTTTCTTTTCTTATGTGACTCAATGAGTTTCCTGCAGGTTGTTTAGAGGAGTGTGTGCACCTCATTAGTGGGTACACCACAGAAGAAAACGTCTGTCAGCCATCAACGGTTATCTGCCTATAAATCTTTCAAGGCCAATCTGAGCTTCATGGCTGCCATGCCTATCTTGAAATATATATATTTTAAAATCAGAGCATTAACATATAAATGGGCCATTTTCATTTAAATGGCATTTCATTCTATAGGCACGTGCAAATTAAGTTGAATTTAATGTTCTATGTGGTGTGTGATTCAAAATAAAAGTATCAAGAATTTTATTGTGCTAAAATTATTTTAGCATGTTACCCTAAGAATTCTATACAAAGTTAATTCTGACCTTCCAATGATGCACATTAGGAACATTTCTCAGCTTTTTCCTGTTGCTTCTTTGTATGTTACAAATGTGTGTCCTCATGCTTTGCTTTTTATGCTGCCTTCTTTTTAAAAATATTTTATTTAGTTTTATGTGTATGAGTGTTTTGCCTGCATGTATGTAAGTGTGCCCATGTGTGCAATGCCCACGGAGGTCAGAAGAGGGTGTTGGATCCCCTGGAGTTATAGACAGCTGTTAGCTGTCATTTGGATGCTGGGAACCGAACCCAGGTCTTCTCCAAGAGCAGTCTTCTTAACCACCGAGCCATCTCTCCAGCCCCTTACACTGTCTTCTTTGGTTCAAACCTCAATTGTTTCTGGTACCTGCACTGAAGTAGATTCTGTTTTTGAGACAGGGTCTGGGCTTTGTAGCTCAACTGTCCCAGAACAACTCACTCAGCCTTGTAAGTGCTGGGATTATAGGTATCAGGCTCCACATCCATCTTGCCATACTTTTTGTTTTTAAGACAGGGTTTCATGTAGCCCAGATTTTAACTCCTGATCCTTCTGTTTCTGTTTTCTGAGGGCTAGTATCACAAGTGTGTACCTCTATGCCTATTTCTGTCATATATTCCATTTTTATTCGAGACAGGGACTCACTCTAAAGTCTTGGCTGGCTTCAAATTTGTGGTGATTTTCTACCTCTGCCTTCCATATGCTGAGATTACAGGCCTGTGCCATCATACTCGGCTGGCTTTGCCATACATTCTTTTTTAATATTTTACTTTATTTTCTTAGTGTATGAGTGTATTGCCTGAAGGTGGCATGTAAGTGCACTCATGTAGTGCAGTGTAAGCAGAGGTCAGAAGGTGTTGGATTCCCCTGGAACTGGAGTTAGGACGGTTTTGTGGGTGCTGGGACTCAAACCCAGGTCCTTTGCAAAAGTAGCCAGTGCTCTTAACCACTGAGCCATGTCTCTTCAGCCCCTGGCATACATTCTTAATAAGGAAGTTTTGCTCTGAGATTATCTTCCTCTGGATGTTGGGCCAGATGCTTAATTTTATGCAGAAAAGGTTTGGTTTGAACGCTACAGCCGATCATTTATAGGTTGTATGCATCTATTTCTGTACTATATTAGCAGAGTTGAGCAGTTGTGAAAAGAACAGCTGCCAAGCTTGGAAGTTTTAGTATATTATGAGAACACATTCGCTGGTCTCTGTTCTAGCTGGTCCTACATACTGCTGCTGAAATCTCTGGTCATGTTATCTCCTGGTTCTGAAACTCACAGTGCCTACCCTTGGTCCTCGGGGTGGAATGCCTCCTCCTTTGCCCACCTAAGCACAGAATATGTCACCTTCTGGCACATGGTAGGCATTCACAGGACTTGTGGCCTTTGATCTGCCACCTTTGTGTATGCCTGCCTACTTCCTAGGTTTTGGTTGGTGGGTCAGCAGGGAGATGATCTTCCCAGGGTATCTTAGCTGTACACAGCACTCTCAAGCTTGTAGAGTACGGCTACAACAATGTATCATGTTGTTGAAATCTGTAGAGAAAATACAAGGAATACACAATGGGGAATATTTTTAGGAGTGAAGGCAATCCCCTTCCCTGGGTACCTATCTCATGTTACAGTTACTGGCAAGCAGCCCTTCAGGCCTCTTGGGACCCAGCCGGTGTGACCAACTCAAGGCTCCTCTTTCCTGCTTTTTTCTTGACTGGAACCATCTTCCTGCCATCCCAGCACTGTACCCAGCACAAAGGAGGGCTTGGTGCTTATTGGTGGGGAAGCTATGCTCTCCTCAGAGAGTTGGGTGGGATAATCACTGGATACCTACAGTAAATCTTGTTTAAGGGAAAGTACCCCTTTTCTGGACTTGATACAAGTTCCACGGAATGCTTTTTCCCCCTTTCAGGAAAGTGGGCATTAACTACCCACCATAGTGCTTGGGCAGACCAGGCCAAGGTGCAGTGGACCCCATGTGCATGATATATACCACCACCATCATCACTTAGGCCTGGGCTCATTTGGTTCATAAGTTCATCCTAATACACACCAAACAGGCATTTGACACTGGTTTGTGGAAGGCATGAAGGAGGTGCTGTGTATCACTTTCCTCCCATATAGAAACTTTCATCTTGAAGGGAAATGGGTAAACAACAGGATGTTTTGAGAGGAGGTGAAACATTCCATCCTGCAGGGAAACTAGCTCAAGAAGTAGACAACTCAATAGCTTCAGGAAAACTCTAAAATTGATCAGGTTCCCTAGGCTCCTCCCTCCCCAAGACTGCTGAGACACTCTCAGAGAAGCTGAGCTGTCTGGAAGAGGCTCAGACCACTGACCTACCTGGAGAGGACACTCTCCAATCTGTTGAGCTACCTGTACATTGAGCAGTGTGCTTCAGGTTTCCTGCTCTCTTGAGCTGTCATCCATGCTGAAGTGGCTTTGGGAAATGCTGCTGAGTCATTTAAGCCCCTGTAGGGAAACCCAATAAAACTCAATGGTTCACCAAGTTGGACTTCAGTGGTATCCTTACTTTAGTCTGTTGTTGGTTCTCTATCAAGGGTGAGTAGATATTTGTTCACATTTCCACAAAAGTAGTGTCAGACAACAGGAGGGGGTAGTTCTCTGAGGCCCAGGAGGACCTGGCAGCACTGGGGTGTTAGGAGGTGGCATGGAATGTGAGGAGGCAGAGGCTGAAGAGCTGAGTTGAGTGCACAGGTGTGGCTGGCAGGTGGTTGGCAGCGTTGCCTGCTGGCCCTCTGCATGGCTGCCTTTGAGCTGCTTATAATGAAAGTTTCTGTGTAAACCTGTCTTGTGCTGCCTGTCTTTGCCAGAGTGGACAGAATCTGAGCTTCAGTGAAGGATGGTTCAGGATCCAGTCTGCTGTTTTTGAGTAGGGAGTGAGGACAGCATTGCTGCATGCCTTTAAGGAGACCCTGCTGGCGACTGGACCTGTGTTAAAGTGTACAGATGTGCTAACTCCTCAGAAGGTAGAATCAGTTTTCTGCCCACTGAATTTGCTCTGTGGGGGACTTCTACAAGGATGAGGCACACTGACTAAAGTATAAAAGCTTAGAAATGGAGGGCTTAGGTGGACATGGTGGCACATGCCTTCAGCCCCAGCACACAGGAGGCAGAGGTCAGAGGATAATGAATTTTAGGCCAGCCTGGACTAAATAGTGAGTTGCTGTATCAAATTAAAAAAAGAAAGAAATGAAGGATTTAAATCAGATTTCTGGGTGGGGAGTGTCCATGAAATCTTTGAAACTGGGCTAAATGTGAGAGGTCAGGGTTTGTGGGGGAAGGGGGTGTTATTGGTATGACCCAGAGCTGATAACACATCTGTGCCTGGGCTCACCATGTGGTCACACCGCTGCTTGCCAGTGCCGTGATGGGTTGGTCTTGTAGGGAACCTTTCACATGCAGGAAAGCATGTTGGTTGTTTATAAAAGACCCAGCAACATATTTATTTTCTTAGACCCCCATATAAGGTCCAAAAAGGTAAAAAAAATCACTGGTTTGTTTCCTGGTTATTTTGGCTGTAGCAAAACTAGGACTGCATGTAGAACTCACTCAAATTCTATGCTTTAATAATATCCAAACATGGTAGAGAATGTCCATCCAGATGCTCTGCTTCTCAGAAGGATTTAGGGAGGGAAGAGGTGGGAGGCATTTGCCCGAAGGACAGTGGTGCCAAATGCAGTCTCTGTTCCGCCTAGGAGCTGCCTCGGGAGGTGCTCTTCCCCGGCCCGCCCACCTTGGGCAGTCTGGTAGCACTGGGCTGGCGGGGGATCCTCTGCATGGATCCTTCTCGGCTGCCACGTTCTGCCAATGTAGATGCACTGCTGAGAGTGGGGCCGTCTCTGTTTCTCCCTGAGAAGATATAGAACCCAATCATCAGGATGGGGGCAATTCCAGCTGTGCACATGTGTACCCTTAACTCAGCTACACTTAGCTGCTTTTTTCTGTGTGCTAGCGACTCCTGTCTACACATGCATGGGCATGTGCATACATGTACACATGACTTTTCCTCAGTATTGTTGGGAAGTATCTTCAGAGATGTGCTGTAGGAGCTCTGTTTGGCAAGGATATGATTTGAGCCATATGCATAATTTTAACTTTTCCGAACTCTTCCAGACTTCTCACTCGGCTGAGGGACAGTGCTTAAGTGGCTGAGGTGTTTCTCACACTTGAGGCCATGTTCCCAACAGCACACTGTGGTGTCTCATCCTTGCCCCTCTGCTTTCCATCCTTGCCCTGAGGTGGACCCTTTATAGCTCACAAATGTAGGGGTGTTGGTCTCATCCTGGGGGCACAATCTAGAAATAGTGTGTCTTTGGTGAAATGAGTCAGGAAGTATGGCCTGGCTCTGATGTACATGGCAGACTGTTCTGGCCTTCCAGCTCAAAGTTGCCCTGGCCTTAAGGGGACACTGGCAGTTTCCAGGGGGAAGAGACCCCGTCAGCCCCAGAAATAATCCAAAAAAAGCCACCTGTCAAAGGAGAAAACAGGCAGTAAGAGAACTTGCTGGAGGGAAGTTGGGGGGCAGAGACAAGAGAGAGCATGGGAGTCAGGCCATGGAGCACAACTGGAGAGGTTGAAGGTCTGAGGAAAAGGAAGGCCCTGCTACTGTTCCTGGAAGAGAGAAAGGAGGCCTGTGGAAGTCAGAGGCACACAGAGAACACACAGGGTAGGTCAGTGAGGATGTGTGGGTCCGTTCCCAGGCCTGGGAGTTCTTCCCACAGGGCCAGCCTACACTCGGCCCCTCCTGGAGGCAGGTCTGGGTGTTCCTGTGCTTCTAGGCTGGGAGCTGGTCCTGGACCTCCATCTTTTTGCTGGGAAGGTCTGTTGCATTTCAGAGGGTTGCGGGGGTGGGGGGCACAAAAGCAACATAGGGTGAGTAGGTGTAGGGACTTGAGCCTCCTGTGTTACACACTCTGCCACCCTGTGCCCACCCCAACTCCAGCTCTTGACCACCAGAGCAAGGAAGCCCTTCACACCTGGACACTGGGTTGCTCTACCCATCACACCTCTACTCTATGTCCCAAGGCAGTTAGGTGGCTCCAGTCCTATAATCCAAATAATCCCTGGATGGGAGTAGCGCAGGCCTCACCAGCTGGGTATTTGCTGCACCTGGGCCTGGGGGGTAGGGTGGGGATACCAGTTAGGAGCTGAGGGCACAGGGCTGTGATGTGAGGAAGACAGGACCAAAGCCATCTTTATTCCTGTGCCTGTGGAATGCAGGCACCACGAAGAGTTGGGAGGGAGTTAGACAGATGGACACTAGTCTGCTTGGACCACTCCTTAATCCAGGAGTACATTCCCCAAAATGGGGCCATCTAGGGTTCCAGCAGGTGGACAGACCTGCAGGCACTGTAAAGAGACCCACAGACAGGTCTGGCCAATCAGCTCCAATTCAACCTTTACTCCCCTCCCGGCACCAGGAGCACAGAGTCCACCTCTGACCTCGGGTCTCTGACGTGGGCAGAGACATGGACACACAGTCCTGGGGCTCACTTGCCAGCCGCTGCCCAGCACACATGGACTTCAGCATCTGGAAGACCGCGAGGGGAGCCACGTTAAGATTCAGCAAGTCCACTAGGATCCTGGAAGAACAAACACGGTGCTCAGTGAGCCCAGCGGGGCCGCAGGTCGGGGGAGGGGGGCAGGGGGTAGATCGGCTGGAGTCCCGAAGCAGGGGTGTCAGCCGGGAGGACGAGCGCGAAACCCCAACCCTCGCTCACTCCCACTCACTTGAACACGTCGGGGTCGACGGTGGCGCCCGCAGCCTGCGCCAGCTCGTACAGCTCCATGTCCTCCGCGCCCACCACCTTCTTCCGCCGAAGCGCCAGCTTCTGCAGCGTCGCCGCCTCCAGCCCGGTGGATGCCCCGAGTCCAGCCCCGCCGCCATCCGCCATCCGCACCTCCGACAGGAAGGAGCCCTGGGCCCTGCCCAACCCAGCCCAGGGTTCTGCGCGGCTGTGGCCCGCCAGGCGACCCCACAGCTCCCCCTATTGCCTACCCTCCTCCATGCAGCGTCCCCGCCTGGCGCAGAATCCCCAGAGGTCTTGACACTGCCAGTCCATTCCTTGCCTTGCACGAAGCGCCTACTGTGTGCTGGGCAGTGTGTTGGGCATGGGGCTGCTGCTTGGAAAGCTGTCCGCTCCTTGGCGATCTGACCTTCCCTGCATTGCTCATGCTCGCTTCGGTAGCAGCACCCAGCGCACCAGGGCCTGGCATACACTGGGCTCTCGATAAATGCCTGTTGGATGAAGGGCATTCATGGCAGTGTGTCATTATCTGTTCTGAGGAGGTTCCTTACTACAGGCATTTCTCGAGGGCTCTAACGGCTTTAGCTCAAGCGCAGGAGCGCTCCTTGCTCAGAAAAGCACAAATTCAGGCATAAGGAGCGCTGAAGCCATCACTGCGCACGCGCTTCCAGCCGGTGTGCGCACGCGCCGTTCTCAAGCCGTAAAGGCTATACGCCATAGGTCAGGGGCGTGGGCTGGGCTGCGCTTTTTGATGACATTTTACGCCCCGCGTAGCGGACCGGCGTCTTTTATTTCTGGAGATCCAGCGTCCAGGCAAGTGAGTGCCGACGGCGTTCTCCCGTCCCCGCCGAGGCCGCTCGGTTCCTCCGCGAGCCGTGGGCTCGGGCCGCCGGCCCCGCCACCCGAGCGTAGCCGGCGGGGAGCCCCCGGGCCCCGGCGGGCCCC